CGAAGCATGATTCACCACCACATCAGACGTCGAAACATTGCCGGAATTCCTACCTCCCGCCGGCGGCGCGTGACCAAAATCAGATACTTCTGATTTAGGCACCTTTTTATGCCCTCGCTTTATGATATTTTTCAACATTATCCCTTCCAATCAATACAAAAACCCTAACTATAACTTTTACCTACCTATAGATTTCAAAAACCTCAACTAAAAACAGAAACTTTTCGTTAGCAAACAGAGATCAAGAAGATAAAAGAGCTTTAATAATTGCAATGTGTAGTTCACAAGTACCTGATTTTACCATACATGAAATCAAAATCTATAATCGGAGATGAGAAACATCACCGTCTGGAAATTTCAATTAGTGTGTAGTAACGGCGATCCATGACCGCCGGAGAACGGGAAAATGATCGGAGGGAGTGGAATTTTCCGGCGATCAATAGAGATAATGAGGGGTAGAAAAAGTAAAATAGATGTTACAGAAATTTGAAGTAGAAGAAAAGAGAGAGAGAGAGAGAGTGACGAAAGTGGGATAATTAAAAATTGAGGGGACGCTAATGAAAATGATGGATTGAAAATGCGCTTTTTTGACATTTCACGGAATATATTTTTCTTCTTATCCGTTTGTGCTAAGATAAGTTCGTTCAATATAATACACTGTCCGTTCGATATATTTTATTTAGACACTCAAATTAAATTTTACTCTTATCGAACATTTCAACAATTTCTAATAAAATATTTTAGTTCGATACCTTGATTATTTTTTTCTCTTTCTATGTGTTTTCATTCGCATATTATATAATTAAGTTAATTATATAGAATATATATATTATTTTATTCAATTATAGTATTTGGCTCAATGAGACGTAAAACTCTAGTTATTTTTAAATAAAATTATATATTTTATGTGATTAATTTAATTATTTAATAGATGAATAAACATATGTGCAAGATTATTTCTAAATTTGAATTGAAAGTGTCTAATTGAAATATTTTATTAAGAATTAAAGATATTTAATTGAAACTTGACCTAGTTTAGAATGTCTAAATGTAGTAATGTATTAAGACATTATATTCTATAAGAGATAATGATCAAAATATGTCTTGAACTATCTTCTTCTTCTTTTTTCGAGTTTCACATATGAATTATTAGTTATTTATTTTTCTCTTGATCTATCATCATTTATGTATTAATTATTAGTTGTTTCTTTTTTTATTTATTTAAACGACAGTAATAGTTCAAATAAAAAAAATTGATAATAAGATATATTAAATACATAAATAATAATACTTCAGTTTTTTTAGAAAAATAGGACAATTTAAGGTTGGAATGTCAACCTCTAAAATAGAAATAGTTCAAATATATTTTGACCACTTAACTCATTCTATAGTTAAACCAATTAATACTATCAGTATTATCAGATAAAGTCAACTGATTAAGAGTAGTATTAGTAGAAAGATGGATGAACTATTTTCCTTTTATTTTTTTTAGTGCTCATCAATTTCGATGGGCTCATGGTAAAAAGAACCTATGTAATTCAATATATTATAACTTGTTAATATTATTTTATGATATCAATCAATGTCATTTTAAAAGAGTTATATGTTATCAATTATCACTAAAATAAATAGTTCGACTTCATTATATTTCAGCATGAATTTATAGTTGCATTATTCTTTTACACATTCTTCTCAAATCCACTTATGAAATTACATTAAAAATGCGGAAGGAGTATTACAAAGGGAAAATTATACATAATGGCAAACTATTAATTCAAATTAAATGGTATAACCACACTTTGATTTAATTGTGCCCTGTAGCAAACTGTTTGTCAGTCGCCTCTCTCCCTCAAACTCTCGCTCGCCACTCTCCCTCTCTCGCTCGCTCTCTCTATCGCTCACCTCTCTCGCTTTATACAAACAGAAATGTATAAATTGTGTTTATGTTTGTATAAAGCGAGAGAAAATTGTATATACACATGCAAATACATATATCTTCGTCCTATACACTTATAATTATACAATACAAATATTCTCCTGTCCAGTTCTCTTTTGCCTTTCTCTCTTTCTCGCTTTATACAAACGCAGATTATACAAAATACAATGTATAATTTATGTTTGTATAAAGCGAGAGAGAGAACGATATTTGATATACAAACGTTTTATTTCGATTCAATTGTATACAAATTCAAATTTTATACAGATATACAAACACATAAAATTAAATTGAGAGACTCTCAACGATTTATACAAACGAGAGGCTGACAACAATTTATACAAATGGTCTGTCAGCGAAATTATATAAATCTGAAGAGGAGCCAGCGAATTATACAATTGCTTCTTTTGTATATATGTATAGCGAAATAGCCTAGTCATAGCATGTTTGCTATGGAACGCAGTTATGCAAACTTTGCTATAACATACAAATATGAATTTTGTATTTGCTATATGTGAAAGTTGTTCTATTACAAACAACAAATTAGCCCAACATAAAATGAGGTATCACTTAAAAGATTTCAAAATAGTGCAAACATGAGTTTGACTGACTAAAAATTTGTCATGAGTTGTTAAACAATACCACTCATACTTTAGTAGGTAAAAGCCAATTCAAGACAAGTATTACCAATTCAAATTTTCACTTGTCCTCATTTTTAGAATATTTAATTTTTATTTTTTTTCTATTGAATATCTATCGTAATTTTTAATATGTAATATTAATATATTTTTAATTTTTGTATATACTTAAATCAAATAGTATGTACCTTCACTATTCCACCAAATACTACTACCTCGCATCGGTACAATAAACTAAGATTGATTAATTTGGCAAGATAGCAATTGCTGATCTACCACTATATATTATTACCCTTATTTGACAGTCAACACATGACAAATTAGTAACTCATGTTTTGCTTTATTCATCAATCATGTTTTTTAATATATTTGGCTTGATAAGATTTTCTTTAATTGAGTGTCTTAATTTGTAGATAATATTTCAAGCTCAAATTGTTTAGATTTATTAAATAATTAATGTTTGAAAATGTATAATCTTAATTTTGAAATCTTTTAAAGTAAATCACTACAATATTGGTGATTTAGACTTGTTTTTATAATTCAAAATAATATAAAATAGGTAAATATTATACAAATAATAGAATGATTCTCCAATTGGGATATTCAATCGGATGAACTCTTAATTCAATTGTTTAAATATTTTTACTATTTCTAGAATAAGTTTAATAGTCTATATAATAATCGACTGAATTTAAAAAATATTCTAAAAAATATAAAATTAATAAAAACTTAACTAAAATCTAAACACTTGTAATATTGTGTGACGTACAATAACCTATATAAGACTACTAATTCTTATGAAACACAAATTGTCACATTGTCAATTAACAAGATTGATTATCGAAACAGAAGGGATAGGAGTAATACTAGTGTCCAAAAAAATTTGTTCAACTAGCTAAATATATATGTATTTTGTTAAATAACTATTAATACTGTTACACCCTCTTTTATGTTGGGCTTTTTCAACTTAAATAATGGTATTAAATATGAATTATTTATTTAACAAAATAAGAATTCCCACAGAAAATTGGGTAATGGTGCTGTAAGTCATCCTTTTGAATTATTAATAAAAAGAATTTTTTTTTTAATTAAAATACAAAAATAAAATATCAGTAAGTAATTCTGTAAAATTATTAGGAGTATATTTGTGACTCGTAAGTTTAACAATTTGATTAGTCCTAACTAAGATGTCTAGTGACAATTTCGACCCCATACGCCATTAAGATGCATAAATGCAACATCCCTCTGGGTCTTTCCGTTTCTAGTACAGATCAAATCACAGGATCTCTGTATCTATGTACTGATGAGCTATATCTCCCGGACGAAAGACTTCTAAACCCTAATTATCACATCTAAAAATTGAGTCTGCTCATTTCGGTTAAACCAAAGATTATCATTTTATTTAAAGTGTTTGGATCTCAATTTATGTACCACATCTAAAAAGTGAGTTTACTCGTTCCAGTTAAATCAAATATTATCATTTTATTATAAACCAATGATTATCATTTTATTAAAAGTGTTTGGTTTCCAAATAAATAATATCTCTCGGGGCATTGATTTAAACAGAGGCGTATGTACATGAAGGGGAGGGGGTTCACATGCACCCATCCTCCCCTTCCTAACCCCTATATAATACTACTATTTTTCTAATTATCTTTTTAAATTTGTATTGGTGAACCCAAGGTTAAAAAGAATACTCTAGTACATTGATAAGTAAGTACAAATAGGGGTGCATAACTTATAGATTTGTGGTTCAAATTTTTCTATCCACATTTTTAATTTTTAATTAATATAACAAAATGTGCCACTTTTCATAGATCTTTTTAATAATTTATAAATAAAAAGAGGTTCAAATACCCATATTTTTAGGTTGCATTAGCTATGTCTAGACCTTAAGCTAGAAGTGTCAAGAAAGTCAAATTATATTTTTTACTTTATTTTTCTCCTTTCCTTCTTTATTTAGACGTTTTTCTTATTTATTTTTTTTAACTTTTTCTTTTGACTTTTCAAAGCCTTAAACTAAAAGGTAAAAAGGAGTAACGACATCATATTGTTCTTCTTTTGGCTTCATTCCACATTTTCACTTTGTTGTTCATGGTGAAGTAGAAGTGAGATTTGAGAATAAGTAACAAGGTATGTTATCTAAAAAAAAAAATTATTTATTAATGTACTTCATTTGTTTTATATGTTTTTCTTGATTTATGAAGTGGTTCCATTATTTGATTGCTTGAATATTTAAATTTATAAGAATTTCTTGATTTCTAAATAGTTATCTAATAATTGTGATTCTTTTATTAGTAAACTTGTTATTTGTGCTAATATTCTTAAAAATTATTTTGTTTTTATAAGATTGAATGGAAGTGTGAATATTTAATTTTGTAGCATGTAGGTAAAATAATTCTTACAATCAATTCATCAAATCACAAATGGATAAGTTTCTCATCAAGTTACCAAAGCCAAAAGATGGCCAACCAAGTTCTAGCTCTAATCAACCATTTGTGAGTTCACAAGTTGCTCCGGAAGTTCAAAGACATACAAATTCTTTTCCACTTTCAAATATGGATAATATGCTTGATTTTAAATCTCTTGAAGCAGATCCCAAAGATCGAATGCCTATTTCATCTTATGGTCCTAATATTCGAGATGCGGTAAGGAGGTATTACATTCAAAAAAAGCCATGTCAACCTGTTGATCATATCTTCCCTAAAACTAAGTTTGGAGATAAAATGCGTCAATTTCGACCAACTTGATTTAAGAGAAGATCTCAATGGTTGGAATATAGCATTAAAGCAGACGCGACATTTTGTTTGTGTTGTTATTTGTTCAAGAATGAACTTGAAAGTCGTGGAAATGTCGGAGATTCATTTACAAGAGATGGTTTTAGGTGTTGGAACAAAGCTTTAGAAAGATTCAAAAAACGTGTTGGTAAGGTAAATAGTATCCATCATAAATGTTGCAATAGGATGCAAGATTTGAAAAACCAACGACAATCGATCCAATCTTCTTTTGACAAGCAAAGTGAAAAGGCAAGAAGTGATTATCTGATGCGTTTAAATGCCTCAATTGATGTAGCAAGATTTCTCTTGACATCGGGATTTCCATTTCGTGGACATGATGAAAGTGAAGGTTCCGAATATAAGGGTGCTTTTCTTGAACTTTTGAAATGGTATGGGGATAGAAGTTTTGATGTGGGAAGAGTAATATTAAGTAATGCTCCACAAAATGATATGATGATTTGTCCGACAATTCAAAAAGATATTGTGGAGGCTTGTGCTAAAGAAACAACTAAGGCTATCATTGAAGACTTGGACGGTGATTATTTTGGAATATTAGTTGATGAATCAAAGGATGTTTCTCATAAGGAGCAAATGGCTCTAATTTTGAGATATGTCAACAAAAGTGGAATGGTGGTAGAGTGATTCCTGGGTATTGTCCACGTAAATGATACATCTTCTCAATCATTAAAAAAGGCAATTTATTATTTGCTTTTGGATCACTCATTATGTACATTCAAAATACGTGGTCAAGGTTATGATGGGGCTAGTAATATGCAAGGGGAAATAAATGGTCGCAAGTCTTTGATTTTACAAGATACGTCATCTGCATATTCTATTAACTGTTTTGTTCACCAATTGCAATTGGCACTTGTAGGTCTTTCCAAAAAGAATTCGAATGTGGATAATTTTTTTTATGTTCTCACTAATATTTTGAATACTATTGGAGCTTCATTTAAACGCAGAGATTCACTTCGACAACATCAAGAAGATAAGTTGGAAGAGTTGCTTAAATTTGGAGAAGTTCATACAAGGCAGGGTTTGAATCAAGAATGTGGCCTCCAATGACCGGGTGATACTCGTTGGGGGTCTCATTTTAAAACCTTGGACAATTTCCTGATTCTTTTTTCTTCAATTGTTAATGTGCTGAAGGATATGAAACGTGATTGTCCATATCATCTTGATAGATTTGCGGCGGAAAATCTTTTGAGCAAGATTCATGAATTTGAATTTGTCTTTATGTTGCACTTGATGTTTAAGGTGTTGCTATTGACGAATGAGTTGAATAAAGTTTTACAAAAGAAAGATCAAGATATCGTTAATGCTATAGGATTGCTTGACCTTACAAAGAAACGATTGCAAATGATGAGAGAGGATGAATGGGACTCTATGATGAATGAGGTTAGCTTATTTTATGGTAAACATGGAATTTCAATTCCCAAAATGAATGAAGACTACTCTAATGGAAAGTCGAAGCGTAAGAGGTTCAATATTTCATATTTGCATCACTTTCGTGTGGAAGTATTTTATGCCGTCATTGATTTGGCACTTCAAGAACTCAATAATCATTTTGATATGGTGACTAGTGACTTGCTCCTCGGTATGGCTAGTTTGAGTCCGGTTGATTCATTTGCTAATTTTCACAAGGATAGGATAATGAAACTAGTTGAGTACTACCCAAGTGAGTTTGGTGATAAAAAGCTTCAGGAACTCAATTTTCAACTTGATTTTTACTGCAAAATAGTAATTGTATGGGGGGATTGGGTTATGACTCAACTAGTGGTGACTATAAGATCTTGTTTATTAATGGAGAAGAATTACTTGGTGGTCAAATTCTCACGTTGAAAAGTGGTTCCTGGAGAAATATTGATAAACATTCTTGTGGGGTTGAGAGTTGGCTGGGTGGTATAAGTTTTGCTTTAGCAGTAGTAAACGATGCATTTCATTAGATTTGTATATCCGGAGACTATGATAGTAAGTTCAAGAACTTTTTATTTGGTTTCATTTAGCATTTCAAATGAAGTGTACACAAAGATGTCATTACCAAAGAAAATATTAGGAGGCTTGGAGGGCAACATGCTTGTTGGTGTTTCTGTATTGGACGGAATGCTTTGTGCTTATTCTAGCTATGGTCATGCTAGTAACCGTGCTTTTGAAATATGGGTATTGAAAGACTATGGTATCAATGAATCTTGAAATTCATTGTTTATTAAACACCAATTGGCTTCTGTTGAAGCCATACCAAAACGGTTTGCAGAGGGTGAAGTGTTATTCTCAGTGAGGACAATAAGAGGGCCATTGGGTATACTTGGTTTTGGAATTGGTTCAAGAAAATGTCATAATAGAATTGCTTTTACAGAAAGCTTGATTTCTCCGAAATCACTTATATAGTATGATGGAGGAACTCTTTTCTTTTACTCTTATGTTATTTATATTGCTGATCAGCAGTTAAGTTTCAAAATTTACTGTCGAAAATGTCAACTTGATTATATCAGTAATAATTAGAGTGATTTAATTGCTAAGAAAAGACGTGGTTAATGTTAATTCCATCTTTACTTTCTTAATACCTCTTCGTTACATAACATTTTTTTTTTCACATTCCCATCCAAACATGAGAAATAAGAGTATTAGAAGTAAACATCTATGAACCAGTTAATTCTGAAGTGTTGATATCAATTTATTTGGTATCATGACTCAGAAATATCTAAACTGGATCTTGAATGAAAAATCACAAATCGTCGTCTTGTGTATAATGGGAAAAAATCCTTTTGAATATATTGTATACAGTAAGAAACATAAAGAGCCATATTCTTTATCCTACGTGAAATTTTGAATCCATATCTTACATCAAAAGCACGGTTAGCAAGCTGCAACATGTCAACTCTAAGGAATTAAAATCTTCAAAATATTTTTGAACCATTATAACCTGAAACCAAATCTATTCATGATGCTGCCTGCTTTTGTTCATCGATGTCCAGTAACTGCATCTCACGGATAGAAAGTTCAGGTTTTGTGCCTGAGAGTTACTTCATTGATTTGTACAGGAGTTTTGGGTCGATAGTGGTCATCTGTATCTACTTCTTCGATTTCCTGAATAGTCATGACCAACCCATCATCATTAAGGAAAAGAAAAACATTGAAATCTCATTGCCAGGCTTGCCAATAGGTTTTTGTCAGTTCTTGACAAATCATAATGTAATAGTTCTTTAATCGTAGTCTCGGCATGGACTTGAATGTTCACTAAATATCAAATGCGGAAAAGCAGTGAAATATCAAATATCTAACATTGTTCTTCAAATTTTTTATGCAGAAAAGGATCTATACCTGCACGGCATCTTCTCCCTTGATGACACGCCCAAAGACATTAATCTTGTCATTCAAATCTGGTATTGGTGCTGTTGTAATAAATAGATCAAATCCTCCACCTTCATGTTTTGCTTTGGAAGTACCAAGCATAAATGCTTCATGCTTAAGACTGAACATTAAGATTGCTAATTTAGCAAAAAACAACGAGTCAAGGGAATCTCAAGGCAACTGTATAAGACACAATAAAAGCAAATGATGTGCAACGAAGACCTTGTGTCCAGTTGGCTGTAATGTTTTCCCCTCGATGTCCAATCTTCTGTAGCTTCAGGGTTTTCAATTTTACTACCTTGAATGACAAAGTTCTTTATTACACGAGTAAATTGCATCCCTTTAAAGTGACCTTTCTGACTGCAAATACGTTTTAGAAGTTAATACTTTTATCATGCTTGTAGCACAAGGTTGCCCATCCAAAATTCTACAAATGAAAAACAGAGAAATAAACAGACTATTTTTACACTATAACCAGCATGCACTTGAGGTTCATATCTGTATTACAAGGAACTTTGTGATGGAGATCCAAAACCAACACGGAACCACATAAATGGTGATGAAGTGGCAGAGATTCGTGAAAATAACATCAACAACATTTCATCAGCTTGACTCATGAACTGACACAACCACAAATAGCCAAAATATCAACTTCCTGACCCCTTACGATAAAAGAAAAAGGTCCAATCTTGCAAATCAAAACCCATCATTTCTATGCTCAGTAAATATTACTTATTATTGTCATGGGAAGGAATGACGAAGACTAGAGATGCAATCAAAAATTGGTGATCAGTCCCTCTCCCTCTTTTTTCTCCCTTCAAAAACCAAGGAAAAAAGAGAGAACAGAAAAGGTGGATTTTAACATGTTGAAATTCATCTTTATACCTAACTCCTAATTTTCACAAGTTCAAACTTAGGCAAGTGTTTCTTTAAAATATGAAGAACAAAATGTCTTTTAGCCCCTTATTATTTTCGTAGCAGGTTGTTTTGTACATTTTTGAGGATCACATAAGCTCATCCCAGAATTCTCCTTCTTGAAGCATGTGATAAGTCACCAGGTGTTGCATGTGAGGTAGGGAAGAGATGAACACTTGGATTCGTCTACTTAGAGAAGGTTGCCTCGTTAGATCTATATGAACTAGGGTAAATTAATGGTCGTCTCCGCAAAACAAAAAACAAAAAAAACAAGAAGGTGGCTTATTAGATGTATATAAACTAGGAGTAATTTGATTGTCGTCTCCGAAAAAAGAACAAACCAAAGACAAGGAAAGGAAAGAAAAAGCAAAAAACAAGAAGTTATAGCAGTTACACACCTGAAATCAATGAACTCATTGACAATGTCAGGAGAACCATCCTTGTAAAGTTCCACAGTTATCTGTCCTTTCGAGGTGCTTATAAGCTACCAATGACACAGACAAGTTAACAAAGTCTAGAAAGGAAATAAGGATTGCATAACAGAAACGCATTGAAATATGCAATTATAGCCAAGAAAAAACATGGAGGAATACTCCAGCTTTGAAAGAGAAACACCGTTATATGCTACAATGTAAGGAAGATACAAAATGAAAACTGTTCCCTTGAATGGAAATGACAAGTTATATTGAATTATATCACCAACTAAGGTGAAGAACACACGCTAGTAGTATGATCGAAGGAAAGTTGAAGAGGATGAGAGGAGGGAGGGAGGTGGTTGGACTGCCTGCCTGTGACACTGGCATACTCAAAGGTGGTATTCAGTAAATAAATACTAGCTGACAAGAAAGCAGGAAAGAGAATTTTCTGAACTTACAGCGTAATTAGGAATATCTGATTTCTTCCGCTCAATAAACTGCAGAAAATAAAGAGGTAAGGATATACATGAGTGCAAAAGAATACTAAGGTAAATGCAGTTTGTAGGATCTAAATATGAAGTGAATGAAGTTCATGAGAAACCAGGGTTCAAATCATATGAAAGACAAAAATTGCTTAGGTGGTTTCTTGATTCTTCCCATCTGTCTAAATCTAGGTGGGCACAAAAAACCCAGAGCCTATACTTGTGGAAGGTAATAGGTATCTGGTTAATCAAGGTGCAAGCAAGTTGACCCAAGCACCACCAGTTTAAAAAAATCTAAATCTGGACCATAACAAACGGCATATGTTGGTCATTGGAGCTCAAAGAAAGAATATTTGCAATAATATCTACCAACCAAAAATAGGAGTTGTAAAATAATCCATACCTTTCTGTTTGATATACCATCCTGTGTCTGAACAATTGATCTAGGCAGAAGAAAATAAAAAGGTCGAAGTATGAGGAAAAACATCTATCCAAATGCATCTTGTCACAAAATATTCAACAAATGTACAACTGAGGCATTGTTGATGAAACAAAATATCCATCCCATATGGAGGAGTTTGACCATGAATTTTCCATTTGTATTCATGCCCAAACACAACTCCAATTTTCAAATATCTTTTTGGGATAGAGTTAAAGGAAATCGTCATAAAGTTAGATCTGAAGAGTACCAAATACTTCTGATAAAGATAAGACACTATTGAAAGTCTTTTAGTACCAGATAATGTGATCACCAAGCGTCAGAAATGGATATATCAAAACTCAATAAGCTCATGAAAAGGACATGATTAGATTAGTATTGAATACACATACAAGTGGCTATGACAAGTTTTAATATTAGTTCTCTATAAACACAAATAAAGAACCCAGAAATTAGAACATTCCACATCTTAGACTTTACATACAACTACTAACTAGGGCCATGCCATACCTAAACATTCTGTTGCTTCACTTCTCTTCCAAATAATCATAACAAGAAGTACGAATAGGGACCATTACCAACAATTCCAAGTTAAGAACCTTGACAACTGCCAAAGAGAGCTTTGCTCTCTGAAGCAAAGAACATTGCATGAGTTCAAGAACATTGGAAAATTAGCCACTTTGCTACTCTCGGAATGTAGTTTTATCTAAATAACTACATAATTTTACATGTCAAAGCTAAACAATCAAAAGATAGCCAGTAATAAACAACACAAAATAGATAATATCCTACAAGTAGCTAACACAATTTCCAAGAAAAGGCTTTCACTAACCTTCGAGCCCAGTATTTATATGTAGAGAACAGGGAAAACACCATCACAGCAACAATTAGGATGTATACAATAATTGTAGGTACACTGACACCACTTGGCGCCTTCTTCTTTTTGCTTTGCAGTAGAAGAGCTTGAGGTTTTATCCTTGCCATGACACTTAAAAGTTAAAACTCCCTAGTATTAATTCCCTGAAATCATCATAAACAAACAATCACAACTCAACACAAAATTAGCATCCCACCTTTTAAATTAAATCAAAAAAGCAAATAAAAATTTCAACAACCTAAAGGATTCCACAATACTACTCCCTCCCTCCGTCCTGATTTAAGTGTCTTAGTTTGTCTAGGCGCGTAGTTTAATAAAACCCTAACCAATTTGGGGAATTGCAGCCTAGTTGATTCATCAATTCATTTCAAAATATATTTTTTTGAGCTACGCATCAACTGAATTCAGATTCGGCAAAAGATAACATCTTTATATATATGAGCAATTAGGCCAATAAAAGGGGGGGGGGGGGGGGGGGGGAATACCTTGATGTCGCATAAGTGCATTTCAAGCTCAAATTTCAGGATTCTGACTGTGAAATTAATTTCTAACAATTAAGAAATTTCACTTGATTTTCAACAACTCATTGATAATATGGAAAATTTTGGCAAAACGAAAAGAAAATATTGGATGAACCTGAATTGCTTGCGCTGGATTGATTGTTTTTCTTCGTATTTTCGCTGTGATATTTTGTATTCAGCGTGGAATTTTAGGAAAGAAGAAGGCAGTTGGTAAAATATTCAAAAGTTCATTTTTATAAAATACCCTTTTCCAAGAAGTTTAATAATTTATTTACCAAGCAAGTTTTTTTTTTTTTTTTACGTAATAGGTAAACGTGTTTGGTATCATATACTCTAATTCTGGGTGTACTTAAATTTGTATAAAGTTGATCAAGTAAACTCATGTGTGTCTATTTGGCATCCTACATGACAATTCACAGCCTACGTGTATTGTCTCATGTAGGGCGGCGCGTATGTTTACTTGTTCAATTTTATACAAATTTGAGTGTCTATTTGTACATTGGAGTCTGAAGGGTATAAATATTAGATGAAACCAAGTTGGCTCTTTTTTTATGTTTTACATTATTTTATTTTGAACAAACAACACAAATCCCACTATATAGCCTAATTAGATGCCTTCTCTTTAGTTTTTGAAATTATCTTTTGTACTACATTTACTTTGCCAATTACATGTATGTGGCGCACTCAAATACATATGCTCCTATACATGTGAGTTAAATTAAGTGTAATTGTTCCATATACATTGCATCCAAGCGTTATTCTCATGTACCTGAGACACATGAACTCTTTCGCTTGCCTCTCTCCTACCTTGCTCTCCTCTCTTCCGTATATATGTATCTAGTGTGATTCACATGTATTTGGAATACACCAACTCTCTCCTTCGCCCCTTTCTTTTTGTATCTGTGTTTCATTATGTATATGGTATCAAAGATACATGTATCTTAAAATTTGAAGAAGTGGTGTATCTAACTTGAAATTTGGTATAAAACTATTAATTTTTGAAACAATATGTAATTATTTTAAACTATAAAATGAATTAATATTTACGATAGAATTTTTTGTGTGATTTAAGTAATTTTTCTTTTGGGAAACTTACATAAATATACCATATTAAGAAAATATTTACCATTTATAATAATAACATTTTTTTTCACTTGATCACTTTTAATACATATTACAAAAAACAATTTATTATTCACATATAATACAAGTTTTATTGATGAATAATACATTTATCACTCATTTTAATACACTTATAATTCACTGTATCAATTTTTTACCAAACAACCATAATATATTTAAAAAAACAGTTATAATATATATATATATATATATATATATATATATTGCATACATAATTCACTTTTAATACATATTGCAGATTTAACATAGTATTGTTATATATTATTATAAATAATAATAAATAAAAAATATTGCTAAAATCAGTAATTATTTATTAAAAAGTACCAATCCAAGTATTTAGGCAGGAGAATGGGCCTTTAGAGGGATGGAGGTTACAATCCAGTTAGAGATTATTGGGCTTAGGCCTATACTGAAGTAGTGGTATATGGGCCTTTTCGTTCTAACAACACCACGTCATCCCGGCAAATCCTATCTCTATTTCAGGGTGGTCTGTAAATTTTGTCCTTTAAAATATGTAAAAATTATGCAAACCACATAGTATAACATATAAATTACATTTTATCCCTACTCTTTCATAAATTACAGAAATTCCTTTATTTTAATACCTTTCAGATACATAATTGGGAAGCGCGGATACTTAATATAGAGATTTATGTTATCAATTTACTGCACTAAATTAGGGACTAAAAACAGAAAATATAATTGAATCCCACATCAGATACATAATTGGGAAGCGCGATACTTAATATAGAGATTTCTGTTATCAATTTACTGCACTAAATTAGGGACTAAAAATAGAAAATATAATTGAATCCCACAAATCAAGCGTACGGTTCTTTCTTCTAACAATCAGTCATTCGCAAAAAGGTAACATAACTAGAAAATTAAAATTTCAAGTTGTCAAACTGTGTCTCCCTGTTCTTCCAAAACACTGCAGAAGCTTGATACAAAAAAAATCTGGAGTGGAGAGAAATTGATGGTTCATTCCGGCAAGCCACCCTCTCTACGGCTGGAAGATGCAAAATCCTTGCAAGATTGATGGTCTTCGGTCATAGCAGCTACAAGTTTCTATTTTTGTTTGGTTTTTATGGCTGTTTTTCTTTTTATTTTCTTTTGGTTTGGGATGTTGTTTTGGCTTCTTGAACCTTTGGTGTCAAGGGCGTTTATTATTTTATATTTGGTACAATTGCAGCTATGTATTAGTGTGTTATGCAGTTTCAATGGAATCAATGTCGAACAAAAGTGATTGGTCAGTTTCGAATTGTGTTTTGGAAGAAGTTGTCTTGCCAACAAGATACAAAAGAATGTCCAGTAGATTAAGAAAAAAGGAAGAAAAATCCAGATGAAAAACTAACATCAAACATGAATTGTTGTGGGCGATGTGTGGACAAGAAGACCACAATCAAAGAACTTGTACTTTCTTCTTGATAGAATCTTGATCAATACTTTTTTGGAGTACTTTGCTTTTTTAGATCTAATAATTTTCAAATTATAACATTTCTTTCCACTGTTGCAAATGTTTACATTAAAAAGTACTTTTAGCTTACTAATTTCTGATTCAATAAATTGAATTGTTACGTTTTTCAGTTCTGCCTATATTTTTTATTGTTAATTTTTGATAAAGTGAATCCGGTATACATATTGTGTATTGTTTTGTGTTTGATACAAAGTTATTTTTAAAATATACGTTATATTGGTTAAGTAATTAATGTATATGTAACTGCTAATAAGTACTGAAAATACTATTACATTGCATTGATTTGTTTAACATAATGAATTTGATACTTAATTCTTTGAAAAAATTTGTATCGGATAATATAGTATCAAGTGTTGTGATATGTACCAGATAAGAGTTGTGATGTGTATAGGATAAGAGCCATAATGTTAAAAGGTACTAAATATATTACAAATTTAGAGGATTGTAACAATTGTAAATATATAGTATCAGGTTTTGTGAGACACATCAATTTGTGATTTTTAAAGCATGATAAATAATAATTGTGTATCATATACATAATATATTTTTTGGCAAATTTGTATCAGCTTATACACATCAATTTGTGATTTTGAAAGCATGATAAATAATAATTGTGTATCATATACATAATATATTTTTTGGTAAATTTGTATCAACTTATAATATAGTATCAAGTGTAGTCATTTATACCAAATTTATAAGAGACATAATGTTAAAAGGTACTAAATATATTAAAAATTAACTGATTTGTATCAAGTATAAAAATATAGTATCAGGTGTTGTGATACATACAAATTTTTTTATATCGAAAGTAATTGTGTATCATATACATAACAAAGTTTTGAAAAATCTTGTATCTGCTAATAATATAGTATCAACTATAGTGATATGTACTATACTTATAAGAGACAAAATTTAACAAGGTATTAAATATATTGAAAACAAAATGAAAAGCGAAATAAACAATTTTCAACATAAAAACTCTTCACATTTAGAAGTAGTATCTTCAAAAGGGAAGAAATACTCAAAAACACTAATTAATGTATCTTAAAATCAATATCATCAACAACTGTCGGTGAATCGATATATAAAAATCTATTCTACATTAACAAGATCATCTTCTGTTGGTGGAGTGTAGTCACTCTTCGGCCTTGTAGGATCATCATTCTCGCTAACATATTCCGTCTTGGTTGAGACCATACTTTCATAACAGTGTTGCATATCTTGTGCGAAGATAGTCACTTCGAAAATCATTAGATTAGATGTTGATTTCACCGCTCAGAAATTCAACAAAAACAACAAAAAACATTTCGCAATCACTACAAAAAAGAAGAAGATACATTATAAAAATAGATCAAATGTGTAAGTAAAGAAAAATTGATTCAATAGTTACAGACTGTCGCTTTCTTGTTGCATAATATCTTGAACAAATTCCACCTCAAACGAATGTTGTGGATCCAATAGTAACATGTGAATACATAAAATTACAGAAAAATAAAAAAAATAGTAAAATACATACCGTTGGTAATGCAGATCTGGATATGGCCGAGGCAACCTTTCTATCCCTTTTCTTAGGTGTTTTTCCATGTGCCTCCTTTTTAGGTTTTGACTTCTTAGAACTTTGCTTAGCCATTGCTATAGGATCATGCAACCTATTAGACCTGTTTTCTGCCCCGTTAGGATCTTCATAATCAGAGATTCGATTAGTGTTGGTTGTGACTATTTGGGTAATCCCAATACTAAAAGACGGATGATCCATAAAGTATAAGAAAAAAACAAAAAAAAAAGTTGAAGATGAAGAGACTACCTATTTTAAACTCTAAAATTAGTTGAATGAAGAGAAATTAGTTTGAAATTCAAAATTGGAATAATGAATCTGTTGAGAATAATCGGGGAGAAAATTTTGGAGAGGGAATCGTGGGTTGTGGGAAAATCTGAGGAGAAATTATTGGAGTAAATTTAGGGGTGGAAAAGTAAAGTTTAGACTTCTTCAAGAATAATG